GGGAACACTTCCAAGGTCATTCTCTGAGGCCAGCATTACCCTGATGTCAAAGCTAGAAAAAGATACTACAAGACAAGAAAACTACAGATTAACATCTCTGAAAAACACTAATGCAAAAATCCTCAACAAAATACTAGCAAACTGAATATAACAGTACAATAAGAGGATTATACACATGACCTACTGGGATTTATTCCTGGAACATAGGATGGTTCAACATATGAATATCAATCAATGTGATAAAAATGGAACTATCACATGATCCAGCAATCTCACTTCTGGGTGTACATCCAAAGGAAATGAAAATAGGATATCAAAGAGACACCTGCACTCCTATGTTCACTGCAGCATTATTCACAATATCCAAGATATAGAAACAACCTACGTGTAGGTCAATGGATGAATGGATAAAGAAGATGTGGTATTTATATATATGTATCATTCAATCATAAGAAAGAAATCCTGTCACACGCTACAACACGAATGAACCTTGAGAACACTGTGCTAACTGAAATAACCCAGAGAAAGAAAAATACTGTATGATCTCACTTATATGTAGAATCTTAAGAAAAAAAAAGTCAAATGCATAGAAGCAAAAAGTAGAATGGTGGGGGCGCCTGGGTGGCTCAGTCGTTCAGCGTCTGCCTTCGGCTCAGGTCATAGTCCCAGGGTCCTGGGATCGAGCCCCGCATTGGGTTCCCTGCTTGGTGGGAAGCCTGCTTCTCCCTCTCCCACTCCCCATGCTTGTGTTCCCTCTCTTGCTGTGTCTCTCTCTGTCAAATAAATAAATAAAATCTTAAAAAAAGAAAAAAGTAGAATGGTGGTTACCAGGGACTCAGGGAATGGGGGAAATGGGGAGATGGTGGTCAAAGGGTATAAATTTGTAGTTATGTAGGATGAATAAATTTAGAGATCCAATGTACTGTAGGCATGATGACTACACTTAATGAGTATATTGAAAGGGCGCCTGGATGGCTCAGTCAGTTGGGTTTCTGCCTTCCGCTCAGGTCATGATCCCAGGGTCCTGGGATCGAGCCCCACATCGTGCTCCCTGCTCAGGAGGGAGCCTGCTTCTCCCTCTCCTTCTGTTGCTCCCCTGCTTGCACTCTCTTGCCCTCTGTCAAATAAATAAGTAAAAACTTTTTTTAAAAAAATGAGTATAGTGAACACTGGAAATATGCTAAGAGAGTAGATATCAGGCACATGCATCACGCCAAAAAAATGGTAACTGTGTGAGGAGATGATACGTTAATTAGCTTGACTATAGAAATCATTTCAGTACATATATGTACATCACATCATCATGTTGTACACCATATATACATATATATATAATTTCTATTTTCTAAAAATAGTTAATATGGTAAATTTCATTTTATGTTTTTTACCACCCACAAACACAAAATCATTAACAACTTAGTAAAAATGTAGAAAATTTACAAAGAAAATTTATCAAGGACAAATAGCCAACAACCTTAGGAAAAAAATAAATTCACTACCAATAAATTTTTCAAGATTCAACTATTTAGACTGACAGAAATAGCAAAGTTTAACACCAGGTGTTGTCAAGGGTGTGGCGAAATGGGCACTCTGAGTATTGAGAGGAATATAAATTGACATAATTCTATGGGGTGACTTTGCAAAAACATATATTTCTATATACATTTGTATAATTTAAAATATTTTTCACAGAATTTTTATATTTTTTAAAAATACATTTTAATCTAAAAAATACATTTTAATCTTTTAAAAAACGTCTATATCCTCTGATTCCACAGTTCCACTTTCAGGAACATATCCCCAAGAACCATTTTGACAGGTGGGCAAAGATAAGTTGTCAAAAGTGTTCACTGAAGTGCTCGCTTCGGCAGCACATATACTAAAAAAAGTGTTCACTGAAGCAATGTTTATAGCAATGACAAATTATACCCTGAACATCCCGGATAGGGGCTTGAACAAAGATTCATGCATACTGGAATACCAGTTATTGAAAATAATGATGTAGATATTGATACTGGAGAGCATTCCCAATACATTGGTAAGTGAGGAAAACAAATTACAAAGCGGTCTCGGGTGTGGGGGTGTTGCATATATTTCCATGGAGGGAAGTGCAGAAGGATACATACCAAAATGTAAAAAGCATTGTTGGAATCTGGGGTAATTTAATTTTTTTTCTAATTTTTCTACAGTAAACACATATGGTACTATCTGTACAATTTTAGAATATTGGTTAAAAAAAGAAAACTCAGTGTCTTCCCTATTTACCAGTAGAGTCCTATCTGCACAATTATAACTTAGCTGGGGAAAAAAAAACAAAAACAACCTCCCCAGAACACAGCTACAATGTGATGAATTTCTCAAATGTGTATTCTGAATAGGCAAAAGAAGTCAAAATACAACCAATCTTCTCCTTCTCAACCTATTTCTTTAAAGTAGTTTCTATCAATACCAAAAGAACCCCAAACGATCCTATTAAAAAATGGGCAGAGGAACTGAATAGACATTTTTTACAAAGAAGACGTACAGATGGCCAACAGACACATGAAAAGATGCTCAACATCACTCATCTTCAGGGAAATGCAAATCAAAACCACAATGAAAGATCACTTCACACCTGTCAGAATGGCTAAAATCAAAAAGACAAGAAGTAAGTGCTGGAGAGGATGTGGAGAAAAAAAAACCCTTGTGCACTGTCTGCAGGAACGTAAATTGATGCAGACACTGTGGAAAACAGTATGGAGTTTTCTCAAAAAATTAAAAATAGAGATACCATATAATCCAGTGATTCCACTACTGGGTATTTACCTAAAGAAAATGAAAACACTGATTTGAAAAGATATATGCACTCCTATGTTTATTGCAGCATTATTTACAGTAGCCAAGATATGGAAGTAACATAAGTGTTCTTCCATAGAAAATTAGATAAGGAAGATGTGATACACACACACACACACACACACACACACACAGAGGAATATTATGAAGCCATAAAAAAGGATGGGATTTGTGCCATTTGCAACAACACGGATGGACCCAGAGGGTATTACACTAAGTGGAATAAATCAAACTGAGAAAGACGAATACCATATAATTTCACTCATGCATGGAATCTAAAAAACAAAATGACTAAACACACAGAAAGCAAAATAAACACAGAGGACAAACTGATGGTTGCCAGAGGGAACGTATTGGGGGGCTGGGTAAAATGGGTCAAGGGGAATGGGAGATACAGGCTTCCAGTTTTGGAATGAATAAGTCACAGGAATAAAAGGCACACATAGGGAACACAATGACACTGTAATAGCATTGTATGGTGACAGATGGTGACTACACTTATGGTGACCATAGCATAACTTACAGAGCAGTCCAATCACTATGTTGTACACCTGAAACTAATGTAATATTGTGAATCAACTATGCTCAAATAAAAAAAATTAATAAAATAAAAATAAAGAAATACGGTAGTTTCTATACAAGAAGCCAGAGCACTGACAGGGTGGGTCTTCTCTGAGGAGGAGAAGGCGGAGAGGCAGTCCTTTTCCTTTCTGAGGGACAGGTGGGGTTGAGAAGTTCAAACCCCAATCAAAGCTCTCCCACATGCACTGGCCATATGATTTTAAGCAATTCTCTTTGTTTCAGTTTGAGAAATTCCTTGAGAAATAAGGGAAATACTACTGATCCTCATGGTAGATAGAGCAGTGATGAGTATATAGCTCTTACAAGTGTTTGGCGATGATTAAGCATTCAGGAGCACAGAATGGACCCCATCAAGATAACTCAAAGGGCCATAAAATCGGTGTTTCTGTTACAATTTTTTAAAACATGCTTCATGCCCTGCCTCCAACCCACACACAGAAAAGCAGAGAGACAGACCCGAGGCTGAGCGAGAAGATGCCCAGACACCAGATCAGAAGTGGCTTCAGGGCACAGAGCCACCTGCACACGGGTCAAAGCACTCCAGGCCGGTGACCAGGGAGACCTCGCGGTCCGAGTGGCGGGCCATCATCTCCTACTACAAGGGAAGACGGACGGCCTCCACCGCCCGTGGGGATCTGTCAAGAACATTTTCTCCGGGAGGAAGCAGCGAAACCAGATCTGGACATCAGCACTCGGTACTGTCTTAGCGGATCTTTCCGGCAAATGCGCAGTCTCCCTGGAACACAGCACCGGGTGTCAGGGTCTCACCGCTACCGGACAGCAAAGGAGACCGAGGGCCAGTCGGAGCAGAGACGTGAGCCGAAGGAAGAACTGCTGGGGGCGCCGCGCAGGAGTCTGGAAAGCTGGGCGGGAGGAACCGAGGAGAGGAGCCGCGTGGAGATGAGGCATGAGGTGGGAAGGGGAGCGAGGGGCGGACCCCGCCAGCCCCGCGCACAGCCACCGCGCGAACCCCGAAGAGCCGCGCAGCCAGCGTCCTCCTCCCTAGAGGTCTGGTCCCCATCTTTACGGTAAAGCAAGGGCAGTCATCCCCCCACCCCCGTCGGGGCGAATAGAAAGGGGGCTTCTGGAGGTTCTGAGGGCGAGGCGAGGCCCCGACAGCGCGGGATCCTCGGAGTGGTCCGCACTCCCGTCTCTTCCGCCTCGGTGTTCCGGGAGCACCGGAGGGGCGCGCCCACTGCTCCCCCCACCCCCGCCCCCGCCGCGGTCACCCCGCGGAGGTCTGGCGCTCCCAACGGCAGCTGCACGCGACCCGGAAGGGCGGCGCGACACCCCACGAGTGCCTTTCTTCTGAGGCGACGAGCGCCTCGCACCGCGCATTTACCTGAGCGAGGCCACGCGCTCCAGCCTCTGCCACCTCTGAGCCCCTAACCGCCCGCCGGGGCACGCGAGCTCCAATGGCGGGGACGGGGCTCCGCCTGCGGCGCCCGGAAAAGGCGGGAAAGGCCCCGATTGGCTGAGAATTTGCAAGCCGCCAGCCCCACCCGTCGGTCTCCTCCCGACTCTGACAGCACCCCTCCCCGCTCCCTCAACCCCCCCCCCCCCCCCGGCCTCCCTTCAGGCACCTTTCGCCAAAAGGGATGATGGCCCCGCGGCGGTTCTCGGTATGACTCTGATTCACCGCCATCTTTCTCCAGGCCCCCTCCTGCCACCCCTCAGATGGGAAGGGGCGGGGCCTGCGCCAAACCGGGGGCGGGGCTTTGAAGGGGAGGGCGGAGATTATGGCGCAAGGACGAGGGTGGGGGGTGAGTGGGCGAAGGGGCTGGTCACGTGAGGGGCGGTGGTCAGAGAGCCAGGCAGTGTCCACGTTGAGATGCCGGCTGAGGAGGAAGGAAGCGGACCCAGGGAACGGACCCTGCCTCTGGAGCGCAGAGGTTTGAGTGAGTGGCCTCCTGGATCCACACCTGTCCTCTTCGCTCCTGCGTGGTAGCCCAGGCATGGTTGCTCGGCTGCCCACGGGAATAGGCTTAGAAGCAGGATTTTCCTGCGTCCCCCGTGGCGGGGGCGGGAGTCTAATGCCCTTTGGAGAAAGGGTCCAGAAGGATTTCTCGCTTCTCCTAGGGCGAGCAGAACTTCTCCCCACCAGAAAAAGCCTGGAATCTGAGCTGGTTTCTTGTGAAGCAGCATTCAGGGAAGGGTGCGAGAGCTGTGTCAGGAGGATCTGTGCCGGCTCCAAGGTCGAGACTGTGCCAACCATCATAACTGCCCTGCCTCCTCGAAACGGTGATTGTGAGGATCCGGTGGGATACATTATATTGGAATCGCTTTGAGGACTAAAATGTTGTCCATATTCTTATTTCCTTTAAAATTCACAAAACAGTGCCAAAGGGCTTCAAGCAAAGGGAAGGTAACAGCTTCTGGATTACCGTATTTCATCAAGTTTAAGATGCTGCCAATTATAAGATGCATCATTTTTAAATGTACCACTAGGGGAAAAAAGTTGCCAAATAAAGATATGTCATCAGTTGTAAGCTGTTTTTTTGTTTTTAAGTAATCTCTACACCCAACATAGGGCTTGAACTCACGACCTGGGGATCAAGAGTCGCATGCTCTACGGACTCAGTCAGCCAAGGGCCCCAAGCTGATTTTTTTTTTAACACAAGACTATTGGAACAAATGAAATACCGTAGGAATGGTGTGAAACTGTAGAATGAGCATTGAGATAGAGTCCTCCTCTTGCACTGGTAACTAAGTGTGCAACTTTGGGCAAGACAACTATGCTCTCTGGACTTCAGTTTCCATATCTGTATGAAAGAATTGGACTAAAAGAACTGTTTTCTCTTAGCTGTAATATTTTAAGTTTGCAGAACTACTCTATCACTCAAATCTTCCCATATCTCTCCATCTCCATGTGGCGTTGCTGCTCTGGTCCTGGTCCACATTATTTTACCCGAATGACTCCCCACCACTCTTCTATTCCTTGCATTCACCCTACAGAATACTGAGGCCCCAAACACAATTGCATATGGCCATCACATTCAAATTCAGAAAGATAGAGACAAAGTCGTGTTATTTGCTGGCTACAGAAGAGATTAGGAAACTCAAAGAGAGGAAGTTTGTTTTAAGTTTGAAAAAGACAAGAAACAAACTAGGGCTTTAGATGTAAATTCTTAACTCTTATTAAAGTATTCACTGTACAGTAGGCAGGTCTTTAGGCAAGATGGGCCCACTCCTTTCATAGAATTGGGTTTTTTTTTTGTTTTTGTTTTTGTTTTTAAGATTTTATTTATTTATTTGAGAGAGAGAATGAGAGATAGTGAGCACAAGAGGGGAGAGGGTCAGAGGGAGAAGCAGACTCCCCGCTGAGCGGGGAGCCCGATGCAGGACTCGATCCCGGGACTCCAGGATCATGACCTGAGCCGAAGGCAGTCGCTTAACCAACTGAGCCACCCAGGCGCCCTATAGAATTGGGTTTTATGCCTTCTGGAGGAAGGAGGGAAAAGCTAGGAAATTAGTTAAATGAAAATAAACCTTGTGTTCATTGAAGGAGACAGGCTATACAGAGCACAGCATCCCTCAAGGTCTAGCATGATAGCTCCATCACTCCTTCTGAATACAAAACTCCATAGAATAATGACTGAAGTCGAACCTCAAGCCAAATGAAGACCAACTGATCTCATGAAATGTTTTCCATCTATAATTTTTGTGGCTGCTTCTTACCAAGACGATCCCTGTCTCACCCTCCACCCACGATGTAATGGCCAATTTGGCCAAGGAGTGAGGAGCACAAATGAGACACAGGCTGGACAGTTCTTGTTCCAACAGCAATGTTTAGTTGTACAACACATAAAGTCTAGCAACATTTACACAACCAGTTTTAGGGTCTGTTGGCTTGTTTTCAATTGGGAAATTTAACCATAATGTCACCCAAAAGTTGGCTGGGACTGGTAACATTTAAGAAATGGGTCGTTCTTGCATCCCCTAGGCTTGGGCCTCTTGCTCCATCAGGACTCAGTTGTAGATGAATGGCCCACAAGTCACCAGCCTTTGAGAAAGTAGTGTCCAGGTGGAGACAGTGGGGGAAAGGGGGAGCGGGGGAGGGAGAATCCCATACAGACACAGTATGTGGGGCAGTGGCAGCCAACATTCGCAAACATTCATGCATCTGATGGGGGGCTTTGCCCTCCACTGGGTATTTTCCACTAGCCTACAGTGACCAACTGTGGCCAGGCTAATTCATTACTCACATTAGCAGGGTGGAGGTTGGGGCAGGAGTAGTCAGAGTAGGTGGGAAGAGATCCCTCTTATTGCTAAGTGGACAGAAGCGTGCTTTTTTTTCTTCCTAGAGTTCACATCCCATGGGTTTCTGGAGTTTCGTGTCTGTGTTTAGTTCTTTTTTTAAGTTTGAGAGTAAGGAAGTCAATTCCAGAAACGTCTCTTCAGGAAAACCACTCTTTCTAAGCGGATGCATTACAGGGTGGGGAGGGCATGAAGCTGAACTCTGGGGCCAGCCACAAATGGCTATTTTTTTTAAAGTGACCCTAGGCCTGGCTCCCCCACATCTGTAGTGACCCATCATTAGAAATAAACTTTAAGCAATGAAGGAGACACCCTTGTCCCACACTGGGGCTCACACGGCTGACCTCAACAAATCTGACAAGCAGAAAAGTTGCTTTCTTGACCCTTGAAGGAAGCCAAGAGTAGCTCATGCAGATGAATGGACAGGGAGCAATGCCATTTCCCCTTGGAGATGGTTACAAGTAGCTGGTATGGGTTTGCAAGGGTAGAAGGAGCTCTTGATGAGTTCTTTCCCCCTACGGATGGGTTGGGACCGGCTGACACAGACGATGGACGAGGGCCGTGCTGGCGAGAACCCCATTCCACTGGGGGGGGGGTGGTTTGGATACAGGGGGGAAGCAACTGTCCTAAAGAGATAGCTGGGCCCTCCGACCTGCTGAGAGCTGAGAGGGGCTGTGGTGGTGGTGGGCTGGGCAAGGACAGCTCTAAAAAGGGCATAGCCCTGCAGCAATAACAGCTGGGAGGAATGGAGGGAGAAGCAGCGCTTGAAATGGCCTTCATTCAGCAGTGGGGCAGGGGGTGGCTGGCACAGGTGGAAGGACAGTGCCCAGGAGGCCTTCTCCCTGCGGGGGGGGTGAGAACGGTTGAGGGTGTGGAGACCAGTGGCCGGCAGCAGACACATAAAACAGCTTCTCCGGGGAGGCTGACATCAAGGTGTAGGGGTGCCAAGCATCATCCTCTACTCCACCTCTCCAATGCCCACCACCCCACTAGACCTCCCCTGCCAGTCCTAGTGGCCAGTCCCATGTCTGCGCACATGACTGCCCACTGTATACACTGGGGATCCCTCTCCTGTGGAAATGTAGCAACCTCTGGGCTTTAACCCTGATGCTGTTCTATCCTGACAGGTGCTTACCCTGCAATAACTTTGTGGGGGAGGGAGGATGTGTATTGGATTGGTAAAGAGCCTCCAAGAAAGACAGAGACCATAGGTTTTGGGGTCACCCACCTCTTTCCCCTGGCCCACTGAGTCTTGGTCTGAAGTCTATGTGCTTTCCTAGCACCTAAGTGATAAGAGACTAGAAACGCTGGGGTTTGTCGTGGACCAGTAAAACACCGAGGGCTGGACCAGGAGATGGAACAGGAGGTTGTATGAGGTCATTGTAAATGGTAGCTAGTTGGTGTTTTCCCTTACCTAAGGCTAAACTGTTTCCCCCAGCCCCAAGTTTCAGCCACCTTACAGACTGAAGGAGAAAGAGTAACTTGTTTGTAAAACCAATGGGGGAAATCTATGCATTAATAAATACAGGGCTGAAGGGGATGGCAAGAAAAGGCTGACTGTATGATTGTGGGTATCATTAGCAATGTCTACAGGAGTCAGGAGGCGGGAATCGGGGAAAAGCAGACACAGACAGACAGACATGCACAGTGAGAGAGAACAGAAGTCCAGAGGGGGTCAAGCATGAATGAGAAGCGAGCAGTAGAGAAGACAGCTTGTTCAGGAGGAAGAATCCTGATGGAGAAAAGTGCGGTGGTGTCTCCAATTTGCCTCTGTAGCCAAACCACTGAGAAAGGCAAAGGTTGTGTATTGCTCTTGATACGTCTTTAGATTTAATTCTTCTAGAACTCAGTGCCCAAAGAAAGGCTGTCTCGCTGGACCAGCGCATGAGCTTCTCGAATCAGCTACTGGGAACTGGGTAACTCATCGTGTTTCCTCCTCTGCCTGGGCCCACACGGGTCCACCATGCGCTGCGGAAACTTTCTTTCCTGCTCATCTCTGCGGGTCTGATTTCTCTCGTAATCTCGTAATCCCGTAATCCCAGTGTGTACTGTCACGTGCTTTGGCTGTGATTTTATTTTAAAGTGGCCTGAAGTCCTTTTTGGAAGTAGACTGGGCATAAATCCTAAATATGGAAATGTAGCTAAGGTGGATTCGACTCCAAGCAAGTGGAAGAAGTCAGAGAGGCGCAGGATGAAGGAATGAGGGAAGGGGGCGGGGGGAGAAGGTGGGAACAGAGGGGTGGAAAGCAGCAGTCGGCAACCAGGACAGACGGTGACAGGTGGTGGATTTCGGACAGTGGAGACGACACATGCTGAAGGGTGGAGCTCTTTTCTCCACTTCTGGGCACGAACTCTTTCTGCAGGAGCCCAGCTCCAGCCTACTCTGCTCTCCCTTGACCTTCCCTCTCCTAGGAAGTCCTAGCCTTACCCTAGACGGCCAAGCCCCACCACCCACTCCCCACCAGGTCCAGCTCCAAAGCTGTCCTCAGAGAGTCTCTGCAGTCCCTGTTTGTGGGTGGTTCTGAGATAAGAAAGAGTTACCTGTGGCTCACCTGCTCCCCATCATTTTTAAGTGAAACCTCCCCTAAGACCTCTTGAGTGAGGCACACGGCTTTGTTCTGGGACACAAGGAAAGGAGACAGATAATGGACAGCCATGGAGGAACCAAACTTACAAGGGACCTTCCAGGGAGGGCAGTGAAAATACCTCACCCCTGCACAGGTAAACACACACACACACACGCACACTCACTCTCTCTCCCTCTCGTACACACACACATACACACACACATGCACACACTGTAGACAAACTCCACAAACATCAGACAGGCCTGTGGGACAGAGTAGAAAGCAAGAAGGTGGTTGGTGGTGGTTTTGGGATGTGTGTGTGGAAAAGTGGGGATGTGTGATGATACAGAGAAAGGGCCGTCAGGGGTTACTGTCGTGGCTTTCCTCTGTGTCCACGCTCACCGGAGGGAGGCCTCCATTGTCATTGAGCCGCTTGGCCCTGTAGGTCTCGTAGTGGATGTTGTGTGTCACTTCCTTGAGATCCTGGAGGTGGGTCCTGAAGGACAAAGGGTGAGGAGAGAGAGGGGTGTGATTAGGGGTGGGGAGAGGAAAGAGACGGACCCACATCTGAGGTCAACGCATCACTCCCGCGGCCTGGGCCCAATAACTGAGACCCAGGCCAGAGAGCCAGTAATAATACTTCTTCGGCCCCCTCTGCTTCATGATGGGACCTGGAACGGGGGGCAGAGAGCTCTGTCAGAGAGACCTGGAGATGGAGGAGGTGGATCTGAATGGATGGCCTCCTGACCCCAAATAAATTAACCTGCCCTCTGAGGGAAGGGGTGCATCTCACCTGATGACAAAGTCTCGAAGCAAGGCAAACTCACAGTGGTTGAGGTTTTCCACTGTGAACGAAACAAAACAAAACAGGTGGTCATTTCACTAATGTAGCAACACCCAGCAGGCGCACTTCTGTTCTGGTCACCAAGGCATTGAGGAGGGAACCACAGGACAGGTCATTTCTTGTAAGCCTTCCAGAGGTTTGCTCCTCTGGGCATTTCTGGACATGGGAACAATGGCACAATACTATTCTGGAATCTGTGAAATAGCAGCTAATCAGGACTATTAGATTTCCCATTTTACAGGAAATAAAATTAATACACAGGGGGTCTAAAAACTGGCCAAAGGCCTCAGACACAATTCCTATCCTCAAGGAGCTATAATCTGATTGGAAAACAGTAACACACACAGAATGTAACAATCGAACCATCTTAAAAAAGGTCACGCACTACACGATGAATCTAATTCAATACAGATTGAGTACCTACTATCTGCAAACCACCTGGTAAGCGTTGTGGGAGCAGAAGGTGATTAAGACATGAATGCTCTAGTCCCACAATCTAATGGACAGGACAGACTTCCTCATAAATGATTCCAATTCAAGGTGGATGAGAAAATGCCATTAAAAAAAAAAATCTCAACATAGGGTCATCAGCAAATGAGAGACAATATGATCCAATGGGACGAACTTGGTTTGGGAACTGAAATAAATGCAGTTGTGGAATTGAACTCCAGCCCTGAAATCTCAGTTTCAACCACCACCAAGTTGTGTGTTCTTGGGCAAGACCCTTCACCTGTCTGAAGCTCGTGGCCCTTGGGGGCTCATGTTCTGAGTACACGCACGCCTCCCCTGATCCCCGTAGAGGGTTATCATATTTGAATGAGATCACGGAAGCAATTCTTTGAAACCTTTCAGAACCGGTATTGACCTTCTCGAGGTCACATCCATTCCCAACAAAACGAAAACAGCCACATCCGAACCACCCTCCAGCAGTTTGTCAAATCACGTGCCCTTTCATGTGAAAACCTTTCTCCGGTTTTTCCAGTGCTTTTTAGTCTCTCCCCGTTCTCCACTCCTTTGACGCACGAGTCAGGGCCTCCCAGTCAGGTGCTAAATCGCTCTTTCAGTGCTCCCTGTCTCTGAGACTCATTTTCTCAATTAGACTGTAAGCTCCTTACGGTAGGGTCTCGCTGGCTTTCATTTTGTATCTGACATGCCAGGATAGTGCCCTGAACTCTAGATGCTGAATAAGTAAGCATAATTCACCAGCAGCGGCCAGTTCTTCAAGAAGATGCACTGAATTACCTTCAATGATCCCCCAGGGAGTTTTTCTGCCGAGGACTCGCTTGCCATTCACTTGGTACTCCTTGTCGCTTCCCACCACAGCGAAAGGCATGCTCTCCTGCTGACAAACCACACACACATGCATGTCAGCCTCCTACCATCCGGGCCTCCACGGACAGGATGCCCAACGGTCCTGGGCCTCTGGCCTTGAACTACATACTTCTGCTGCTCATTCAGTGATCCCACTGATGGCAAGGGCAAGGCTTTTGTCTCTTAAAAGGGAGTCTGAAGTCCTGGGTCCAGCCCTGGTCACACCCCTCACACCCCTGCCTGGCTGGTTAACCTCAGTAGCTTGGCTTTCCTTCAACAGGAGAAAGCTTTGTACTTTTTAGACTTTAACACATCAGTTTGGTTTGGAACAACTCTGTGAGCTAGCTAGGATAGAGCTCTTCAGGTATACCCACCCATGTGACAGCCAAGTGATGGATGCTTTACGCTACCTCCCATCAAACCTACTGGCAGAGACCCACGTCCACTGACCTCTCAGATCCCATAGGTCACCTTCTGAGGTTCACAGGCTCTTCTGCTCCCCCCTCCCACCCTTGGGTTGTATATTCGCCAAGAGCCAGCTCTTTGTTCCCAAATCTATTTGCCTGATGTGTACTTGCTATTGGAGAAACTATTATTTAAGCCAAGGATGTATGACCGTGGAGAATGGTTTCTCTGAAAGTCAGGTTGGGTGTTTCTGGAAGACTTGAGAAAGGTGAGTTGCTCTTGCCCTAAGCCCAGACTTATCCTCAAGGAAGAGGCCTTGTCTCTATATGAAAAGAGTGCTTAAGTGAATGTGATGGATGTGTTTTATTTTAACTTAATAATTTAGTGAAATAATGTTTTAAAAACATTTAAGATTTGTATACATCATTTTTTTTATAACAATTTCTTCACTTCAGTGGACGTTTTCCATTAACTGACCAACTACCTGTCTCAACTACACTAGATAAAGGGCTTCTGATAGATGATCCACCCTCAACAGAGGAGGTGATTCAAGACCAAAGCAAGTAAATGGCTTGTCCCAGGTCATAGTGGTGAGTAGAAAAGCCCAGACTGAAACTCAGGATTCTGATGTAAAATCCCAGAATTGTCAAAGGCTGGAACTGAGAGCGATCGTAGAAATCACATGAAGCCTTAAGATCCCTGGGAGACACCCCAGGGAGGGCTGAGAAGACAGCACTCTGTGCCCGTGTCCCTGAGCCAGAGCAGCTCTGTTTTCATGTTTTATATACAAGAGTCCTGTGTGACATTTAATTTTTTTAAAGGGTTCCTCTGGGGGGGGAAAAAAAGCCTACAAGCCACTCACCTAACCTGACTTCTGCATTTTATAGAGGGGAAACTGAGGCAGAGCTCTGACTACAGCATAGACACCTTGGACCCCAGCCTGTTGCTCTTCCTACCCAGGCCCTTCCATCAACCACACCCTGGTTTTTCCAGGCCCTGTGGGGGAAGAAGAGGCTTTTGGGGTAGTCTGCGGATGGACGCGAACCTTGGCTTCCTGGATGCAGGGTTCACGGTCCTGGCCAGGGCCCTACTCCCCATTCTCTCCCATGTCACTTCTGGTCTGGGTCAGGCAAGGTGGGCAGACAGTACGAAAGGGGAAAAGTAGGTAGCAAAACAGAAGGGGTACACGATCCATATCCCACTTGTGCTGAGGGCATTTGTGTGCTGAACAGAGCCCCAGGCACCCACCCGGATTTTGTCATTCTCCGTCTTGTCCTCCAAATCCTCATCAAATTCCTTCTGGGGGTAGAACTCAATGCCATTCACTTCGAGCTCCTTTCGAACCTAGGGGCGAGGAAGAGAAGCAAGGTAGCCAAGTGTCAGGATAATGGGGGGAAGGGAGCTGTACACGGGCGTGAGCATGTGTGTGTGCTGAAATCAGAGGGATGAATACAGCCTTTGATAATCTGGTCATCTCTGAACTCTGAGGCCCTGAGCAGCAGGAAGATCCTAATAAATGGAAGCCCCAGTCATACAGCTGCTACAGCCCAGCCTGAGATGAGGAATAGTCTGGGGATGCAGCTTGCTCATCTCGGGATCCAGAAGCTTAGGATTTAGACAAGCAGCACTACTGAGTATGTGCTCATGCTGCTATGTGTCATATTCCAGGTCTGCCCTCTCTCAAAGCTCAACTAAAGCCTCACCTCCTCCAGGAAGCCATCCAGGAACTCCTAGTGGTCTACCTGATTGTGAGTTTCTCAAAGGCAGCAAATGTCTTTACACCTCCCTTGCAGGCCCCCACTTCTATCCCCGTGCATCCAGCACAGGGAGGACCTTATAGAAGACACTAATAAAGACTGGAGGGCAGGTGATTAATTAGTCTGGCCCCTCAAGCAATCTAACATCGAGGAGAGCTTTCTCATGCCCGTGGGGATTTATGTATTCAGTGGTCTTCACCAGTGAATTTGGAGGGTGGGAAGGAGGCAGCCTGAGGTTGTTAACGTCTCTTTGCCGTTAGTCGGCAGATAGGACCAGCCCAGCCTCTTCGATGGTTAGGTGGGAGCTGGGTGGGAAAGCGGGGATATAATAATCAAGCTTGGGCCAGAGGAGGGGAAGGGAGGGTGGAGACAAGGAAAGGAGGAGAGGTCTTCTCACCCTTTGCTTGAATTCAGACTTCTCCTCCAGGGTCATGGTGTCAGCCTTAGCAATGACGGGGATGATGTTCACAACTTTGCTGAGGTGCTTCATGAACTCCAGATCGAGAGGTCGCAAGCTGGGGCCCAGAGAAGGCAGGGTGTCAGAGCCACCTTGCCCTCCCCCGGTCCGCCCCGGCCGCCACACCAGGGCCACCCTTGGGACGGAAGGACTGGACGGGGAACCTGGCTGAGGCCAAGGGGCTGCTCCATCTCCTTCCTGATGCACTCCCAGCGTCTTACCGCCTGTGGAACAGGCTGCGACTCTCTGCCCCCACTCGGACCACCGTCTCCCCTTCTCTTCAAATCCTGCCCCTCCCGTAGCCCTGCTCAAACTGCTCCTTCAGGACAGCATCCCTGACGTGGGACTCTTTTTCTCCTGGGAATAGCCGCGGACTGTTGTCTCGGCCTTTATGTCCCTTTAAGTCCTTGTGTCATGGTTACTCGTGTATCTTATTCTCCGTATGGGGCAGCACTTCTTTTTTAAGTAATCTCCTTGCACAACGTGGGGCTTGAGCTCATGACCCCACCACCACCCCGATCGAGAGTCGTGTGCCCCACCGACTGAGCCAGCCGGGCGCCCCAGGACAGCACCTTTCGATGAGCCTTCTCCCAGCCCACACTTAGTCCTGCAGAGGCCCAGCTGAGGGGCCAGGCCCTCCCCATCTGAGGGCCCCGCTCCCTCTAGGCTCTGGGGCTCCCATCTGGCTCTAGTTCCCGGGCCGGGCCACTTACTAAGTCAGGCTATCTGCTGGCTTGCTCTGACCTTGGGTCCACATTCTAGGGAGGAATAAAGCTAATCTTTTTACTGAGTTCCTAGACCCCACCATCGAACACCTGCTGAGTACCTGGTTCCTCCAAAATTGGGGGCCCACCTTGCTCATGCCATCCGCTCAGGAACTGAACTCTGGCCCAGCAGTAAGGTGTAGTAATAAGTTATGGAAGGTCACCTGCTTGCTCACCTAGATCTCTCCATCCCACGCTGGCACTCCCTGTTACGCGGCCCCATCTGCCACTCACAACCGACTTCCCTGCACACCTGCTCGTCGCCAGCCTTCATCTCTAGACACGCTGGGCTGCCCACCCATCAAATACCTACAGCTGGGTCCCTACCCCACCAAAACACCCACCTGATCCAGTAGCCCTGCCCTTCCCCGTTTCACTCTTGTTGCTGCCCACCGCCCCACCCCAGCTTTGTGCAAAGCAGGTATCTCCTGAATAGACGAGGAGCCCTCCGCGCCCACATACGGGCTCCTCTCTGCTGGTACAGTTGTGCTAGAATGCCAGTGGGCAGCATGGGGACTGGGCTTGGTCAGCTTTCCTCTCCTGGTAAGAAAGTCAGACTGTCTTGGAGACAGTGCGGGGGATCACAGGGCCCTGACAACTTTGGGGCCCATGCAGGGGGGCTGGTTACCCACGACAGAACGGGCACCGGTGACACGAGCCGGAGCGAGGCGCGGCCGTCGGGGAGGGACTGGTACGTACGAGTGCCCCGTGGGGGAGATGAAGTAGAGGCAGCAATGGACACGCGTGTCCGGGATGCGTTTCTTCCTGGCGATGTTGACCTCCTCCTTCAGGAACTTCTCATACTGTTCATTGATGTACTTCTCAATGGGCTCCCAGCTGGGGGGACGGGGGGACGGGAAGAAAGCAGATGGATGTCCCAGAAAGAAAGGCCTGTGGACCATTCTCCCTCAGGCCCTCACGGATGGCTTTCCTTGTTAAGCGAGGCCAAAACTCCCACGGGAACCTAGTCCTCTGAATGGGCCAGATGAATTGCAGCACCCCACCCCACCCCACTCCGGAAAGCGGCACACACTTTGCCCACCTCCATTCCTTATTAGCTAGGAGGCTCTGAGGAAGTCTCTGCCCCTCTCTGAGTACCAGTGGGTTCCTGGAGGGATTACGGATTCCAAAGAACGGATGTACGGTACTTAACACAGCAACGGCATATAGAAAGTATTCAACATGGCAACAACTCATTAGCATGACTGTTGTCAATGCCATTGCTACCTTTCTCCTTTAAGGAGCATGCCTATGACCAGAGGAGAGGACAACCGGTCACCTTTCTAAGATTGTTCTAAGTTGTGTGGTTTGGCGGCCCTGCCCATGGGCGGCAGACGTCTAGCTCCCTCACAGAGGAACCACGGTCTCCGTCCCTATCTGGGAGCAAATCCCTGCCTGGAACTTTCCATCTACATCCTTGGCAGGATGCTGACGGCCGCGTTGCTCTGTGAATTCCCAGAGGTGCTCTCCTCGTGGAAATTCCCCTCCGTCCTCTCTTCATGCAAGGTTATGACACTGCCCACGGGCCAAGCCTGGCCACAGCCTTCCTGTGAGCCCATATTTGTGCCACAGCTCCCCTTGTTCTGTCTGCCCTGCCCTGCTGCCACCTCCAGGCAATCCCACAGCCAAAATTCCCTCTGCACTGGCCCCCTCCTGGGCCTCCTTACAAAGCCCCCGTCGCCCATCCTTTAGCGCGCCTTCCCACTTAGCCCCTCAGCATGAAGGGCGCAGCTGGTTCTCAATATGAATGAATCTGCACCATGTTCAGCGTCTTCGGGGCAGAAATCTCACAGGCAGACATATACCAGTTTTCATTGTTGATCTGGTCTCCAAAGCCCGGGGTGTCGATGACGGTCAGCTTCATTTTGACCCCGCCTTCCTCTATCACTGGGGGGTGAACAGAAAAGGCACCAGGGAAGTCACTCGTCGGGCTGATGCCGGCTACCCTGCTGCCTACCAGCCAGGGAGACCCAGGCTCCTTCCTTCCTCGGGACCATTTACTGGAAAAGTCAAGTTCAGGGTCTTCCCACCTTGGCAGCTCTGTTCATGCTGTTCCCTGCACCTAGCATGCCTTCCCTGCTTCTTGCTGCCTGAATCCCACCCGTGCTCTCCCATCCAGCTCAAGCCCCGTTTCTAATCCCCCCCTGTCTTTTCTAGACCAAGGAGTTGGCTCTACTCCGTTCTCTTCTGTCTTGAGACTGCTTTTCATTTGTCTCATTCCCCCAGTAGGCCCGTCTCTCCCTCTCTGGCAGAGAGCCTTCTGCCCAGTGGCCACTGGAGTCCCTGCCTGGTCCTCACCATGCCCAATAGCTTTGATCTCCACCGTCTTGGGAATCTTTTCCTCTCGGTTCCAGCTGGAGGCCTTTCGGCTCACCTGGGATTTGAAGAGCGTGTTGACCAGCGTTGACTTGCCCAGTCCGCTCTGACCTGCCGCAAGACAGGAGGATGACACGGTGGGGAAGACCCGTGTCCACCTGCTGAGCCTGCCATCTCTCCCATGAGATTACAGAATTCTAGAGCCTCGATCCAGGCCACTTTACCACTCATGGTGGGTGGGGGGCAGAGGACTGAGTGGGAGAGCAAGCAGGTGGGAAATGGTTCCCTGGTACCAGAGTGCTGGGTTCCACATGCTCTCCTTCCTGGAGCCCCAGGACCGTTGGGAGAGGGGACAACCTCTGCCTTTGTCTAGTGTAGCGATTTTTTGTTTTGTGCCTGCCGGACTTGAACTTTTAGTCTTTGCTAATACTAAACTGAATGACAGAACTACTTTGCCCTCTGCTACTGCCTCAGTGCATCCGACATTTTCACATCTGTTGGCCAAATTTGCCTTTGAATCCCACAGCCCTGGGAATCCCATAGCAGAGCTCTCTTTATCCCCAGCTCAAGCGGTCGGTCGTAGAGATTGACCCCCACCTGACATAAAGTATGCACAAGGTCACATAACTAATAAATGCAAGACCAGGGCCTTGAACCCAAGGAACCTGGTTCTGTGTCCACTCTATTCTAGTGCTACAGTTAATACCTCAGGCAGATAAACGCCTGAGAGGGCACTGAGAGAGGAGGGGGCAGCTGAGCGGGCAGGGCTGGTTTCTCACCTCCACTTCCCTCATTAGTGCCCCCTTTTGACCCGTCTTTCTCTTTTTTTGTATTGTATTTTTTTTTTTTTTAAGTAGGCTCCTCTCCAAACATGGGGCTTGAACTTAGGACCCGGAGATCAAGAGTCACATGCTCTACCGACTGAGCCAGCCGAGCGCCCCATTTTGAACTGTTTTATACAGGTCTACGGAATCTACAGAAGATTTCATTCCAAGGAGGAGTTCTGCAACTAAAAGGCACTTGAAAACCACCGGTCCGAGCCGTGCTTCTCAAACTTATACACGCACGAGGATTGCTCAAGCAGGCCCTACAACTGCTCAATGGCATCAGTGTCACCTGGACCCTTGTAGGAAATGCAGGATCCCAGGCCCTGCCTCAGCCCTATGATTCAGAATCTGCACTTTGACAGGACTCCCAGATGAATCACATGCACAATAAAGTCAGAAGTTCTGGGCTAGAACATTCCTGTGGTATATTAGTGGGAGGACGAGGGCCTAAGGCTCCAGACCCAACAGTGCTATCTTCCTGAACACCTGGGACTAGCTATGTTTGCTCCTCTGGTTTTTTTTACTGACAACTGATGGCAAGGGAGGGAACTGGATGAGACCAGGGATAGCAGACAAGGGGCATGTCTCATTCCAAATGATCAGTCAGTAGTAGCCACCTAGGCCAATATGTTAAAAAGGCCACCTGTGGGCTCAGTCCCAAATGTGAGCCGTGACTGACTGGCAATATCTCTCCCTGTGGTGCTGCTGGGGAGAGAAGAAGCCTGCACAGCTTCTACTTGCTGTTCCTGGTCTGGATATTTTCTGAGGTCATTTGCTCACTAAGTACCCTTGAATGCCAAGTGCTGTCCTAGAATTGGAGGTAGAGAGGCAAACAAGACATCACCTTTGCCCTCAAGAAGCCATTTAGTGTGAGGAAGACCAAAACACAAGCAGGCAATTATGATATGTTGCCATAATCGCCATGAAAGAGGGAACCACAGGGTATTATGGCAGCAAACTGAAGTGAATGTAATCCAGTCTCTCTGGAATCAAAGAGGACTTCTAGGAAGAAGCAACAACTAAGCTGAAACCTGCAGAGAAACTCTGAAAGACCGCTAAGAAGCTGGAATGGGGTTCTAGACAGAGGGAATGGCAGAGTCAAAGTCTCAGAGGCTGAAAAGAGCACAGCGAGTCCAGGAGAACTTACCACTGAGGAGTAGAATGCACCATGGTTGGTGGTAAGAGGTGAGTGGAGAGAGAGTACCAGGCCAGGCTAGGAACTTAAGCCCTTAAATCTACTGAAGGGTTTTAAGTAGGATGGGTGACCTGATGAGTTCTGCAGGTTGGGAAAATTATTCAGTCACTGGTGAATAATGGTTTGAAACAGAAAGAAGACAGAGGACTGGGAGGGTCAATGCCACTCAGAGGGTGGCCTGGGGCCATGGTCCTTGAACCATCTGCTACTCGTTCTTGAGATAAGAAATTTGCACTGGAAAATAAGTTGACCATAACACTAAACACACTAGTTCAGCGGATTTTTTTTTACAGCAAGACTTTCTAGACGATTTAAACTTCAGTCAGCTCCTAATCTTTGAGTAGCACTGAGTCAGGGGGCTGTGGCAACCTAGGTGGGAGCCCTAGCTTAGCTTAGAGTGGTCACAGTGGAGATGGAAAGAAGTGGGCAGACTTCAGAGAGATTTACAAGGGAAAACTGACAGGTCTTGATGGTTGATTGAATTGGGGAATAAGGGAGAAAGAAAGAAGATGCCCAGGTCCCTGTTTCAGCAAAGTGAGTGAATATTTCACTAATATCAGGCAAAGGTCCCTTCCTGCTCTTACATGCTATAACCTGGCAACACTACTTGGTGACCAATCAATGTCCTGCAAATTCTCTTTAAGCTTTCAAGCACTACAGAAGATCACAAGAAGACCACCCTCCATCTGATACCAGTGGAGAGAGACACAGATGATTTCCCCACGCCACACACCTAAAAACTGGCTGAGCAGGGCTAAGAGGCTACCTGTGTCCACCCCACTGGTGTTGGGGCCAGGCTGACCATCCACCCAGAGTTCCCTCCCCTGCATCAGCTAGTCTTCAGGAGAGAAGAGAATCAGGCTTTTGTGATCAACATAGTGAAATCTTTCCTCCTGGAAAGAGCTCATCCTAAGGAAAGCAGGGCTGAGGCCCATCCTAGGGAAAGAAACAGGATCCTCGGTTCTGCCCATCAGCATGGCCTCCAGTGACCCCATGGCCTTCCCTACCGACCACCATGATGTTGAAGTCGAAACCAGTCTTCATGGTCTTCTTGCGCATCTGCTCAATGATGGTGTCAATGCCAATGTAGCCCAGCAGGTTTGAGTTGATGCTGACGGGTTTCATGGGCACTGCCGGCTTAGGCCTGGGCTCAGGCACCAGCTCTGACATGGCTGCGTCCGTCCTGGCCTCTGGGAGCCCTGCAAAGCCAAGGTGGGAGAGGTGGGCTGGAGGAAAACAGAAGTCACGTGGAAGCCACAGTATTATTCTCTTGATACAGAATCACACAGAGTTGGGACTAGAAGGGACCTCAGGTGTCATCCAGTATGGGTCCCTCATTTCACAGATGGAGAGACTGAGGCCTGTGAGGGAAGGACTTCCCCAAGACACAGAGCAAGTCAGATGCCAGATCGGGATCAGTGCCCAGCCTCTCCAGCTGCTAGGGTGCTTTCTGGTGTACTCACTGCTCCAAAGCACGTCTGTGTGTCTAATCCAGGGACTTATCCACCTTGGCCCTGTTGAGATTTGGGTCTGGATAATTATTGGAGGGGGGGTGTCCTGTGCACTGTAGGATGTTCAGTGGCCCCCCTGACCTCTACTAGATGCCAGCTGTGACAACCAAAAATATCTCTAGACAGTGCCCTGGGGGCAGCATAACCCTATGGAGAACCACTGGTCTAAGAGATGTCTGGGGTTATTCTGACCTGAGTTCTGCCTCCTCAAAGAAAGGGCTAAGACCTTTTAGGATACTAGACTTAACATCTATTGACTGTCACTGACCTCAGTTGCTTTGTTTTTTAGAAGCAAATAGAGCTACCCCTCACAGTGCAGGAGCATCACTCCTGCCCCCAGCCTCAGTGTCCCCTCTTTTCCATGAGCACCACTGCAAAGTAGGGGTGTCTATGCCTTGAGGATCCCCAGGCACCATCCTAGCCATAGTTTTAAATCTGTGGGAGGAATAAGTCTCTCCTTCTGACCAGACCAGCGGGGAGGGGATGAGACGCAATTGCACTGGGGCAGCCACTTGCCTAAGATGACATAGTGTGTTCTTGGGATGGGGGGGTGGCAAAAGAAAGGGGGGGCTAAGGACAGAGCCTTTCCCTACTAGGTCTGGTAGATCACAGGCATGTTCACACACAAAGGAAATTTGTGCATTTCCTCATGGGGCCAATGTCCCCCAGGGCAGGTTTCAGTATAGAGCAACTCCATTTTCCCATCCATAAAATGGGTGTGTGTGTGGTGAAGTGGAAGGAGCCTGGCCCTGCTACTTGCTGAATGTGGGGACTTGGGCTCACCCCTGTGAGCCTACTTCCTCATCTGTAAACTGGCTAGGAGCACGATTAAGGCTGTGGTAAGCATCACATGAGCTATGATGCCTAGAAGCACCCGGCATACCCCTCACACTTCCAGACCCTCTTGCCCCCACACCCCTTTCAAGTTCGCCAGCTTGTCCGGAGGGCAAATGAAGTGGGGCGTGTGCAAGCGATGCTAATTACAGAGCAGAGTTATTGGACTCAACGCTCTCTCAAGGACCCCTTCCAGCTTTGCCATTCTGGAATCCTGTGGTTCCTGCAGAGTGTCAGGCTCCCAGGGAGAATTGATGGAGCAGCAGATGGGCAAGAGGGGGAGGGGACAGGAGTGTCTCCCTCCCCCACCCCCAGACTCAGCCAGGAGTCTGTTCTTGTACCGCCACCACCTGGTCCTGCCACCAGTCCTGGCAAGACTCTCTCTCCTGATGGGAAACTGTTCTTTCCTTGTCACTCCCAGGCACAGCCAAATCGGACCAAGCCTCGGGACCTCCCCAGGGCCTGGCGTGCCTCCGTCCTGCTTCCCAGGAAGCTGTTGCCAGCCAGCCGTCTCCAGGCGGCTGCAAGATTGGCTAGGGGGGCCCGGCAGCAGCTGACTCTCACAGCCTGGCCTGCTCCTCCACTCTCTGCACGTGGCTCCCGGGCCCCGCTCAGCACACCTGCACCGGGGGCCATGCCCCATTTTCCCTGCCCAGCTGCTGCTACGGCTGGCCCAGGCCACTTCCCTCATGCCTCACAGTCAAGCCTGCTTGTTCTCGCAAACCATGTTGTGAGATAGATCCACGGGAGGCGGGGGGGGGGGATGTTATATACTATTTTACAGACTTGGAAAGTGAGTCTCGTATTTTTTTTCGGGAGATTTTGTTAGTATCCTTATAAAGGGTGTGCCCTCACTATGGCCAGCTCAGCTCTAGCCCGTCGATGGCTGCATCCTCAAAGAGCGTTCCCAAAAGACAGACGCTGGTTGCAAGAAGGGGGCTGCCCACCAGATTCCCAGGCAACTTCTAGGACCAGCAAGCACCTCCTAGCACCCATGCACATACTGCGTGGAGCATCTACCGGAAAGTCACCTCTCCCAACCCTATGCCAATTACATGCCAGCCACATGCTAATAGCAACCACCCGTCAGCCATGAGCACTGCAAACGTGCAGCAGGTCACTATGTCATGACCTCTGCTGGACGACCCTTGCCCACTCCAGCCCCTGGCTGACCCCTACTCCTCCTTCACCATTCAGCTCAAGGCCTACCTCTAGAAAAGCCTCTGCTTTCCCACCTGATATGAGCCCCCTCTTCTTAGTACCTTGTTCGCATCACGTTCATTTCTTCGCTCCATTCTTTCCAGGACATTTCATGTGCTGCCAGATCTCGGAAGCCTACTCCAGCCAACCCGCTAGACTTGATGCCAAAGATACTTTTGGACCCCAAACAAGGTCCTCGCCCCCAAGGTCCACTGTGTGGTGAGGGTGCCTGACAAGTACATAACAATTTCCAGGGCACAGGACGATGCTGGTCTGGAGTGGAATTCTGTAGCTCCGTCTCCTGCCCAGACAGCATCCCTGTTCCTACCATGCCAACCCCAGATGGGCAGCTGGCCCAGGCTTAACTCCCAGCTGGATGACCCCCGTGAGCCTCAGTTTTCTCCTCAGGAAAATGGGCACAGTACCTACGTTGCTGGGTTGCTGTGAAGGTTATACAAAAGCATGGAGATAAATTACCTGGCACTGAACATATGCCCATCCTTCTTCAGGGAAGGGGCCATGTCTCATTGATCTCTGTGCCCCATTGAACCTAGCATAACACAGGCACTCAGCAATGGATGGATGGATGGTAGATGGACAGGCGCCTCGCAGGGGGGCAGATGTCAATGGGTGGATGGATGGATGGATGGACGGAAGGACACCTCACACGGAGGCAGATGTCACTTTAGAACCATCACCTTTCTTCTCCCTCACGGGCTGCTCCCTTTGCAGAGCAGCTGACCCCCACCCAGCAAATGGCTCATGTGTAGGCCACAGTCAAGGGAGCAGACTCTGTTAAGACAGACCCTCTCCCTCCCTGCAACAGGGATTGGATGGGGGTTCCCTAAGGGTGGGAAGAGCTAAGGATGAAGGTCAGAGCAGGATATAGCTCAAGTGCCATCCTGCCTAGATGGTCCTTTGGGGTCCTCCTAAGCTCCCAGCTCTCCCAGGGTTTCTAGAGAGGAGGGGGATCTGTCAGCCACACCCCCTACCAGGGGCCACTTGCCCCATCAACGCTCTAGGGAGAGGCAATGTCCACCTGACTCAGCTCTAGCTGAGTCCCCCACAGAAACAGCATCCCCCTCCCTGTGCCAAGCAAGGACCCCAGTGCTTTCTTTTACACAGGCAAATGAATGGTTTTGTCTTTGTTTGGCCCAGGGACCCCACCCCTCTGTTGGGAAGGTGGCAGCAGGGGGAGGGGATCTTTCCAGAATAGCACCTGCCTCCTTGGCTCAGTGAGGGGTAGGGGTGGGAGGGGTCTCTTCCTCCCTTCCAGCGCTGGAGATCGTCCCCTGTTCCCAGCCCTAGCAGCCTTCAAGACTCCGCCCCCACCCGCAGAGGCAGTTCCAGACCACCGCAGCTCCAGCCCCGTTCCCAGAAAACGAATCACAGAAGACATCTCGGTCCTTTCCTATTCACAGTTGCAAAGGGCCCTGGGACACCCCCTTCCCCCATCCCAGTCCTCTGGAGGCCAGTGAGTTCCCTTGGAGACCACCAGCTGGTGCCTGTCTCAGTGTGCGTCTGTGTGTGGGGGAAGGGGCCTATGTGTCAGCGCACAGGTCTCTTATCTGGCTGTAGGTGGCCCTGATACCTGTGCGTGGTGTGCATGTGTGTGCGTGTCTTGGTGTGCTCTAGCGTGGGGCTTCCTGTGCGCATCTGGGTCCCTGCTTGTATGTCCGTGGGCCTCTGGAACTCCCCGCGATCCCGTGTGTGCATTTCTCCCGGCATGTATATCTTGGGGTGTGTGCATGTGTCCGTGCATATGTCACCGCGCGTGGGCTCCTCGGCGCAGCAACCCTCCCTCTGGTAGCACCTCCAGCCGGGCTTTTCGGGGCCGCATCCTCCTCCCAGCGGGCGCCGGTGGCCCGGCCAGCCGCCCTACCTTTGGACATGAATCCTCCTTTGTCTCTGTTCCTCCGGGGAGATGCTCAGGGCGTGGGGCTGCAAGGCGGAGCGGGGCGCGGGCTCCTTCTGGGCAGAGCGGCCCCTGTAGCCGGGCCTCGCCCCTCCGCGCTCTCCGCCCACCCGCCCGGCCCGCGGCCCGGCCGCGCCGCCCCTGCGCCCCGCGCCGCCGCGCCCGCCCGGGACCTCGCTTCGGCTTGCTCGGCGCCGCTGCCCCTGCCCGCGCGCACAGATGCCGCCGCCGCCGCCGCTGCCACCCGCACCACGTGACCCGCGCGCCTGCCGGCCCCGCCGAGGGCCCCTCCCCCTCCCACGGCGCCCGCGCCCGCACCCGCTCTCCGCCCGCCCGCACGCGGGAGCGGGTACCCGGCCCCGGCTGCAGGCGGCCCGGGAGGCGCGCGGGGGCGCTGTGTCTGCAGCTCGGGATGCCGGGCCGGGGTGGGGGGGCGGGGGGGAGGTGCCCGCATCCCAGTCTCGATCCCTGCCCGCCCCCCCATCCCACTCCCCGCCTCTTACCCCTCAAGCCTGGGCGGGGCGGGGGGCGCCGGGGACCGATGGCAGCAGCTAGTGCGGTGCGCGCGCGAGTCACGCGGTGGTGGGGATGTTGCGCGGGCTCAGCGGGCTTCTGCCCAGGCGCGGGTGCCTGCGGAGCCCTGAGTCAGGGGCCCGGGTTCCAGGCCTGGCTTCTGGAGGATGAGCGCTATGACCTTGAGCTGATCAGGAACTTTCCTGAGCCTCAATTTACCCGTCAGAAAAAACGTTCATGCATTCAGTCAACATTAATGGACAGCGCATTGCCAGGCCCTGGGGGCACAGGGATGGGGATGACCATTCTAGGCCTTGTGGGGGAGACAGCTGGACTGTCCTAATGTAGGGGACTGGGGTATGCATAGGGTACTCGAGTGCTGAGAGGTGGGCATCCTGGGGAGAGAGGGATTTTGGAAGAGTTCACGGGAAAGCTGAGGGCCAAGACGGAAAGGCAGATGGTGGTGGGAGGGGAGAGGGGAAGGGCGCTCTGTGGACAGGGCAGCAGAGGTGAGCAGACCCAGACCGGAGAGCCCCATGGTGCTGGTGGACAACTCATAGCTCCTGATGCAGCAGCAGCAGAGAAAATTCCAGATGGAAATATAGAGCTAGAGGCTGGAGAAGATCAAAGTCTTGAAAGCTGGGCTAAGGAGCTGGACTTTGAGGGAAGCCAGTGGTGAGTCACCAATGACTGTTAGCAGAAAGTGCCACCATCAAATATGTGAGTCCCTGTGGCAGCTGTGTGGAGGACAGAGAGCCCCCATCCCGGGAGTGGGGGTGGGGGAGGGAGGGTGGGGACTGTGGCATGGCAAGGGCAGAGGGTCAAAGAGGAGGGCACGGCCAGCCAGGTGCTGAGGGGATAGATCAACAGAGTTGGAAATAGACTGGTTGGGATGAAAGAGAGTGGAAGATGAGGAAAAGGAAGAAACCCAGGTTTCTCTGAGACCGAATGAACTTCTAGTCCTTATGTTGACTTATTTATAGTTCTATATAGGACTTCTATACATACAAGTCTCCAACTTACCTTTCAGGACTAAAGGGCCGGGGGTGGGGAACTAAGGAAGAGCAGGTCAGGTGGGGCACCTTTCAAGCAACACATATCCTCCCAAGAGGCTGAATGTGCATTATTTAGAAGGTCTCGGGTGAGGTCACTACGCATATCTAGAGGAGCACCATAGTGATGGCTGTTGGACAAATCATCACTTACTGACGTGCTGGTCTGTATTTTCATGCAGGTGGTTTGCTTTTAAAGCTGGACCCACCTGCAGATCACCTGATTACTCCAGCTCTTCAGGGACCAAAGAACCAACCATGGAAGATGCTAAAGGAAGGACTCAGCATAATTGCTCCTCCACAAGTCACCCCTGGAAACTTTCCTTCTGGTGACTTCCCTCAACCCCACCTCTGACTGGCAGGTTGGGACCCAACTCAGGGTATGTCCCCTGTGCTCTGCCCCTTAATTTTATTCCCTTTTCCCTCAGCACATTCACTTCTGACCTTACAGTCCCACCTCCCTTGCCCAACCTATTCATCTCCAGGCCGATACACCCTGGCCCCCCACAGCAGCCCAGTACATCCCCAGCCAAGCTCTTTGCATTTACCTTTGGTTTCTCTGGCTCGGTCCAGCATGAGGGGCTCTGCGGGCCAGTCTGTGGCAGCATCTGTAAGAGCATGGTCCCACGCTGGGGCTGTGCTTCCGCTTGGCATCAGTGGGTACGTGGCTGATATGGTCAGGTTAATGACTCTGTCCAGTGTGATCTCCCCCATGGCTGTGCTCAGCTTGCTTGTGCCCAAAGCCACAGCATCTGTAGTTCTGTCCAGCTTGGCTTTATTTGCTCTAGCCAAAGCCCTGGCTGTGTCTGTCCTGGCTGGACCCAGCTTGACTGGGTCTGGTACCACCAAATCCACAGCTGTAACCTCTGTGGTCAGACCTGACTTGGCTGGGCCTCCTGTAGCTGTGGCTTTGCCCAGCTTGTCTGGCTCCAGGGTTGCCAAATCCATGACCACGCCCGGCTTGGTTGGGCCTGCTGTAGCAAAGTCCATGGCTGTGTCCAGCTTGGTACCTAGAGCAGGCAACTCTATGCCTGTATCCAGTCTGGATGATGTGCTTGGTGTGGCCGGATGGGCAGTCAAGTTAGGTCTGTTGGTGACCACTGTGGTTAAACGTCTGGCTGTGCCTAGCCTGGTTGTGTCCAGAGGCGCCAAATCCATGGCTGTCGCAGGACCCATGGTAGAAGTGGCCCTTTGGAGATGCAGTCGGGGTCTTGGGATACCCCTGGACCGGGGCTTGCTTCTTCCTGGAGAAGCTCTGGTAGTCACATGGGCAGTCCCTGGAACAGGATGTTTCTGACCTGCCGAGCCTGGCCCTGCAGGGCCTGGTGATTTCTGGGCTAACCGGGATTGAAACGGTAGGGCCAGGTAGGAACTCACCAGAGGCTTCTCCACTATGGGCATCCTGCTGGGTTTGGACAGACCTGGGTTCCCTGGACCCTCAGAGTGGACTCTGCTCCCCGGCACTAGAGTCACTGATTGTGAGCCTGGGCTGGGCAGCCTACCTCCTCCATGGGTGGCAGCCTCCTTGCCCGGGGTGGGCAGCTCTTCCCAGTGAGAAGGTAGGGGACCCAGGGGCCATGCCTGGCTGTTCTGACGGAGCGTTAAGGAGATGGAGCTGAGCTTCCGGGGTACGATCTCCTGTAGGGGCACACCCCGGGCCCTGGCTCCAGGGCCTGGTCTGCTGGAAGCCTGTGGGATATGGCTTTGAGGAAAGGCATCCAGACGGATGGTTTTCCTGAGGACAGGGATGAGAGGAGACACCCCTCCAGGGAGCTTTGAGGGGCGGGCAGGGTGCCCCAGCAGGTAGCTGTGGGAGAGGGAGGCTCCAGGGCTCGGGGCTCCATGCTGCTGCCTCTCAAAATTGTGGTCCATCCAGGTCTTCCGTCTTCCCCTGAGGCAATCAACAGAGAGAAGGGGCCAAGCGGGGGTGAGGTGCTCAGCTTGCATTTCTTTGATTCCTAGTTAATAAAGAGCATGAAAACCTCTTTGCCAAGTAGCAAATTAATTTTTAGTTGTCAGTGTTTGCCAGGGTCTTATAAAACAAAACAGTATTTTAAAATGCAAAATATTTAACTCCTATGAAATGTTATGGAGTAGTTGTTCATTAAAGCATGATTTATCATTTTAATGTTATGCAGTCAGTAAGATACAAAATAGTTTTAAAAATTGTTCACTTTATAATTGAAATGGAAAAAAATGCTAAATATATATATATAAAGCTTAATTTCTAAATATACTTTTTCTAACAGTGAGAAAACAGAAATATATTGCAAGAAATATATTTATAAGAAAACTTGTAATATATCAAGATATAAAATTGTGGGATCCTCAGTGGCTTGAGCTTTATCCTAGTTATCAAAAACACAAATGCCTAGAGGTCAGGGGTGCCTGGCTGGCTCAGTCGGTAGAACATGCAACTCTTGATCTTGGAGTTTCAAGTTCAAGCCCCCCATTAGGCATGAGAGTTACTTAAAAAAAAAAAAAAAAAAAAGCACTGCCAGGTCTGAAGGCGCCTTGTTCAGGGACCCCTGCAGGAGGGCAGTGGTTATTGGAAGCCTGTCTGCCTCTGTCTTTTCCAGAAGGTGCTAGAGGGCTCTGGGTTCCCACCCACAGCAGCCAAAATAGGAGTTCAGGCATCCAGGTGGGAGGCCGAGGGATGACCAGTTTGGCTTGGAAACAGCGTCTACCTCTGGGGCTTCTGCCCAGAACCAGGAAAGAGCCCTGGGCTGGCCTGCTGCTGGAGTCAGAATTAGCTGGAGCTGAAGAGGCCGAGGTGAAGGGAAGGCTCGGGAAGTGAGGTAACAAGGGCTCGCGGTGAACAAGCCACAGTCCCTGCCCCTGGGGAACCTGCCATCTCCAGTGGTGCCAGGCGGTGAAGCAGGTACGGCTAAGCCGGACGTGGGGTTGGCCTCAGAGGAGGACGGCTGGACCAGAGGCTGGGGCAGTTCCCTCAGAAGGCCCAAAGGTGAGGGCATGGTATCTTCCTGAAAATCAACTGCGGGACTCCTAGGCTGAATGGGGGGTGGGGGTGGGGCGGCAGAAGGCCACAGGTGCAGTGATCAGTCCCAGGCCAGGCCACAACGATGCTCGACCCTGGAAGATGACCTGCTCAGACCTGCTGGTGGGAACAGTCACTCCCGTGCTGTGTGACAGTGGGATCAGTGGGAGACAGAAGTGGAGGCAAGGAGGAGGCAGGGACACCACTGAAACTCCATGGCTGGGGGTGGAGCTGCAGAAGGCTGCCCAGCACAGCGGTAGAAGCAACAGACCACCTGGAGGTGGGGAGAGGCGGGGGTCAAGGGCTCTGGCTGGTAGTCTGTGAGGATGAGCCATCCCCCAAGGTGGGCTTCACACTCTGGGCTCCATATAATTTACCCGCTGGGCCGAAGTTGTTCGTGTTGCTTTCAACACAGCAGGCTGGGCAGGCCAGGGCTGGTAGGAAGGGTTCTCGGGGACAGGGCCTGACCCTAAAGCCAGGTCCCTAAGGTCTGGAGCAAGGGGTCTTCACGGTGACACCCCACCCCCTCACTGAGCCTGTACTCCCGCCATCT